GAGAATTTGAGAGAGCGGAGGGTTTCAGAGGCGGCGGTTGGTGAGAAAATGAGGTATGGTAAAGGGGTTGTTTGAATTAAAAAAGGAAAGGGACGAGGGGAGCTGTTGATCTAAAAGATCAACGGCTGGGATTAAATGGGTCGAATGGGGGCCGAGTTTGGGTATGATAAGAAAGGGTATGGGTCGGGTAATAATAAAATTGGGTCGTTTGATTAGGGTGTGATTGGGGGTCCAATTTGGGCTAAAATTGAAATACAAAAGGGCTGTCATTTAAATAACCATTTTTCCCCTTTTAATTTATAAAAATAGTAAAAAATGACTTGAAAATAAATTAAAGGTACTGGACCAATTAATAACATATAAATATTAATGTAAAAATACTAAAAGTGATTTTATAATTATAGAATGCTGTTAATCGTAAAATAGGCTATAATTACAATTATATGCAATTAGCTTAAAAAATACCAAATAAATGTACAAAAATATACAAAAATTACCCCAATTATATCTTAGGGTATATATGAGAATGAAATAAATTATTCACTAACAAATGCTAGTTTGGGAATAAATATTGAATTTTGTAGTATTAAAATAGACAATAAATTGGTTTTAAAATCTTAAAAAATAAAGGAAAAATACCAAAACTTTGGGGCATGCTTATATATGCCTGTACATGCTATTTTGAAAGTATTTTGCATATATAAAAAATATAGGGAAAAATTGGGTATCAACATGAGGAATTGCCTCAACCTCCCAAATTGGCTTGCGAATTCCGTGATACCACTTGTTCACACAATAACAACACCATTCCTATGGGGTTCATGGGTTTGGGACACACAAACACATTTTGACAATGAAGAACAACCCTAAATTTTTTATCCAATGACATGCACTCACCAATTTGAAATTGTCAAAGAATGGAGGTAGAAACCGTACCTTCGATATTTAGGAGGAGGTATTTCCCTTGAATTGATGTTGCAAGTGATGGAAGGAGTAGAAGAATGCTTGTCTTCAATGGGTTTTTGTTTGGGGGGGGGGGGTTTGGCAGTGTGTTCTTGAGGGTGAGTGTGTGAGATTGTTATGAGTGATGTTTGAGGTGTTTAATTTAGGTTTTAAAAGGAGGGGGTTAAAAGAAACAAAACAAAAGAAATTAAAAGAAAACCGAAAAAATTTACTTACCTGGCGACGCAAGGGCTACTGTCTCGATTTCCCCCGCATGAAGCGATCTCCAACGCGAGCTGTGGTGCGTGCTACATGAGACTGTACGCGAGATGCACCTCGTTGTAACCCATGCGAGGCTAGCTCCCACGTGAGAGCCAGACCGGACGACATGGGACATTCCGCCTGGCCAAGCGCGCTGGGGACCTGGCGACGCGAGGTCTAGTGCACGCTCCACTAGAATTGCCTGCAAACATGTTAGTTCCTACAAACTAAAAGAAAAAAAATCCTAGTTACTCAAATAATCAACTACGAATTGGGTTGCCTCCCAACGAGCGCTTAAGTTAACATCACAGCATGACTATTACAACACTACAATGGGCTGCCTCCCATGAAGCGCCTGATTTAATGTCGCGGCACGGTGTAGGAAAATGAACTTAAGGCTCGCTCAACATTTTTGGCTCTTGAAAATGTGTCACCGATACTACTTTTGTCCCATCCATGCCCAAGTAATATTTCAACCTGTGACCATTGACTCTAAACTTGCGAGAGCCATCTTCTCATGAAATATCTACGGCTCCAGTGGGATGAATCTCTAGCACACAGAATGGTTCTGACTATCTTGACTTCAATTTTCCCGGAAACAACCTCAATCTCGAATTGAATAATAATACCACATCTCCGAGTTTAAAATTTTGCTCAAGAATGTTTTTGTCATGCACCAGTTTCATTCTTTCCTTATATAACCTTGTACTCTCAAAAGCATGATAACAGAACATGTCAAGTTCATGCAGCTGTGTGACTCTACTAGTTCTAGTGGCCTCCAAGTCCAGATTCAATTGTCGTAACGCCCAGAAGGCTCTATGCTCTAACTCCACCGGTAAGTGACATGCCTCTCCAAACACCAATTTATACGGTGACATACCAATCGGGGTTTTGAATGCAGTGCGGTAAGTCCATAGCGCATCATCAAATTTTCTCGCCCAATCAGTCTGAGTATCATTTACAGTTTTGGTCAAAATACTCTTGATTCTCTGTTTGACACCTCCACTTGCCCACTTGTTTGTGGGTGATACGGAGTAGCAACCTTATGGTGAACGCCATATTCTTCCAACAACTTTGCAAAGGCTCGGTTGCAGAAGTGGGTGCCTCCATCACCGATGATCGCTCTTCGAGTACCAAATCAGGTGAAGATATTTTTTTCTCAAGAAACCAATAACTACCTTAGCATCATTTGTTGGAAGTGCCACATTTTCTACCCATTTCAAACATAGTCCACCGCTAGAAGTATGTACTTTTTATTATATGAGCTGACAAATGGTCCCATAAAATCAATCCCCAGACATCGAATACTTCTACCTCTTGACTTGGGTTCATGGGCATCTCATGTCTACGAGAGATTTTCCCCGTCCTTTGGCACTCATCACAACTTTTGACCCAGAAGTGTGGATCTTTAAACAACATCGGCCAATAAAAACCTGACTCCAACACATTAGCAGCTGTCCATACCCCTCCAAAATGACCTCCATTCGGTGAAGCGTGACATGCCTGCAAAATAAAAGATTGGTCTATCTCAGGAATGCATCTCCGGATCATGTTATCAAGACAAATCATAAAAAAATATGGTTCATCCTAGAAATACATGCGACAATCACGAAAAAACATTTTCTTTTGCATAGAATACAAGTCATAGGGAACAATATCGCTTGCCAGGTAATTTGCAATATCGGCATACAATGGCGTTGCCTCAAGGCTTGTGGCTAAAAGTTGTTCATCTGGGAAAGTCTCCATGATCTCTTCCACCTCAACCTTCTTTTCCGCTCCTTCAAGCCTGGACAAATGATAAGCAACTTGGTTTTCTGTCCTGGATTTCCAAGTCGAACTCTTGTAGCAGTAGCACCCATCGAATTAGGCACGACTTTGACTCTTTTTTCACAATAAGGTACCTGAGGGCAGCATGCTCAGTATAAATAATTACCTTCAAGTCTATTAGTTTTGACCTGAATTTATCAAATGCGAACACCACATCTAGCATCTCTTTCTCTGTCACTATGTAATTCAGTTAGGTGTCGCTCAAGGTTCTACTTGCATAGTAGATCGGATGCATGACTTTAACTTTTTGTTGCCCAAGAACTGCTCCCACAGCATAGTCGCTTACATCACACATCAGTTTGAAAGTTGCTCCCAATCGGGGGCCACTATGACTGGTGCAGTCACCAATTTCTTTTTTAACTCCTCGAACACTACCCTGCACTCATCAGAAAATGCAAAAGCGTGATCTTTTTCAAGCAGTTTGCACAAGGGGTTAGCAATTTTGGCGAAATCTTTTAACCGTTAGTAGAAACTGCCGTGGCTAAGCAAACTTCTTATTGCTTTGACGGAAGTGGGTGGTGGTGACTTTTCTATCACATCCACCTTTGTATGATCCACCTCAATGCCCTTACTTGACTCTACGTGCCCCAAGACTATACCTTCATGTACCATGAAATGCTACTTTTCCCAGTTTAGCACCAGATTAGTCTCCATACATCTTTTCAGCACTATTTTCATATTCATACGGCAGTCATCGAACGAGTCTCCCACCACAGAGAAGTCATCCATGAAGACATCCATTATGTCCTCTACCATATATGTGAAGATGGCCATCATGCACCTTTGGAATGTGGCGGGTGCATTGCATATGCCAAACGACATTCTACGGAAAGTGTAGATGCCATATGGACATGTGAATGAAATTTTTTCTCTATCTTCTGGGGCAATAGAGATCTGATTATACCCCGAGTATCTATCCAGAAAGCAGAAGTGGGACCTCCCAGCCATCTATCTAACATCTGATCAATGAACGGTAGAGGAAAATGGTCTTTTCGGGTGGCCTTGTTCAATCTCTGTAGTCTATAAAAAATTTCCATCTCGTGACTATTCTTGTTGAGATCATCTCATTGTTCTCATTTTTCCCAACAGTCATTCCACCTTTCTTTGGCACACATTGAACTGGGTTAACCTAGTTGCTGTCGGAGATGGGGATAATGATTCCCGCATCTAACCACTTTATCACCTCCTTTTTCACGACTTCTTTCATGTTGGGGTTCAGCCTTCTTTGATGTTATCTGGAAGGTTTGTGGCCATCTTCCAATAAAATCTTATGCATACCGAAGGCCGGGCCGATACCCTTAATATCTGCAATGGTCCAACCAATTGCAGTTGTGCACTCTATTAATACATGCAAAAGCTATTCTGCCTGCACATCTAGAAAACCAGATGAGATAATAATAGTCAAAGTTGAGTTAGGTCCTAAGAAAGCATACCTGAGGTGAGGTGGTACCGGTTTTTGTTCCAACTGCGGTGGCTCTTCGATCGATGGCTTAGCTGGATGACTCTTTCTTTTTTCTAAGTGCAATGACTCAAATTTGACCTCTCTTTTCCAAAATCCTTGGCCTTCAAGAGCGAGCACCCACTTCGCCAAGTCCTCTCCATTTACTTCTTCTAAGTTCATTAGATAGGTTTCTAAGGGGCCTTTAGCGGTCAGAGCCTCATCTTCCTCCTCATAAATTACATCCACAACTTCTATGAGAGAACAGTTAGCAAATTCATTTGGTCTCCACATAGACTTATGCACATTAAACGTTATCTCTTCATCGTTCAGTCTCATTTTTAGTTCTCCAGTTTCATAATAAATTAGAGCTCTCCCGATGGCCAAGAATGGTCTTCCCAAAATTATGGGAATGTCCCCGCGTCAACCCGGCAGTGTAGAATGACAAAATATGCTAGAACACAAACCTTCCAACCTACACTAGTGCATCTTCAAGGATACATGATGGCCTCTTTACTGTCCGGTCGGCTAGCTATAGTAACATGGATTTGGGTCTTGATCTTCCAATGCCTAACCTTTTGTAGATAGCCAAGGGCATCAAGTTTATGCTCTCCCCTAAATCATAACTGCCTATTGCGCATGGGATTGTGAAACTCCCTGGGTCTGACAGCTTCTCAGTTATGGGTCTCGTCACGACAGCACTACAGGTCTGGGTTAGTGTAACAATGGCCAAGTCTTGGGAGTCGATCTTGCGAGACATCAAATCCTTCATCATTTTGGCATACCTAGGCATCTCCCTCAAGGCGTCAATCAGTGGAATGTTCACCTGGATTTGTTTCAACATATCCATGAATTCTTATACTGCTCATCCTTCTGATATTTGGCAAATCTCTATGGGAATACTGCTGGAGGTCGCTTCTTTCCTGTGATTTGAGTTTGATCCTGCTGGGGCACTACTTCTACTGTCGTTTCTTGCACTACCTCAGTCTCCTTCGCAACCTCTTTTTCTTTGTCTGTGCTCTTTTGTGCATGTCATATCATTACCACAGCTAACTTTGTTGAATCATCTATCTCAATAGGTATTGGCATAAGTGTTTCAGTTGGTCGGCTTTCGAGAGAAATTTCTTGCTCTAGATCTAGGTCTCTACCATTTCTTAGACTCACTGCCATAAGCTGCTTCGGGCCCTGCTTTTTTGGATTGACATGGGTGTCCGTAGGTAACGTCTCTTGGGGACGATTATTTAGAGCTATCATTATCTGCGCTAGTTGAATCTCATACCTTTGATAGCTGAGTCGTGCGATACTACCCTTTCTTGCATCTGATGCGCCTTTTCTTGCATCTGGTGGACCTTTTCTTCCATTTTTCTGGTGGCCCCAATGAGTTGTTGCAGCATTCCTTTAATTTCAACCAACCCATCATCTTGTCGCACTATCTGTTGTTGTTGAGGCTGTTGATAAGTTGGCTACTGATTTTGCTAGTTGTATCCCTGTTGCCATTGGTAAGGCACAACTTGACCCTGTGGTCGCATAGTTCCAGTATTGTTGCTATTATTGTACTGCTGCTGTGTTGGTCTATATTGATGATTCTGTTGCCCCCAATTCTTACCACCTTGCCTCTGTCCTCCATAGTTGGCCACATAGTTCATATTTTCCTGATAATTCTGATTGTCACTTTCAACACTCCACGAGCATACATATGGTTGGTTAATGCATGGTGTACATAAACCCCCATTAGTCGCGACAACTATGTGTACCGCCTACTTTTGGCCCTATTCATCAATCTTTTTGGTGAGGATACTCATTTGCGTCATCAGAGTGGCCATATTCTCGGATATGGATTTGTTTGGGTCCAAAGCTACTAAGTGAACGAGAGGAGTGATCATAGAGTCTCTTGTCATCCATCATGAGTTTTGCGCCATTTTATCGAGTAAGATCATGCATTCTCTGAATGATTTGCTAAAAAAGTGCTCCACCTGATGAAGCGTCAACATTGTCTTTCAAGATGTCTGCCAATCCCATGTAGAACCATTTCCCCAACATCTGATCTGGAATGCCATCATATAGACACTTGACCAGCGTACCTTTGAACCTCTCCCACGTTTCTTGTAGTGTTTCTGTTGGTCTCTGCTAGAAGCTCAATATCTCATCAATTTGTTTGGCAGTCTTATTGGGAGGGTAGAACTTGTTCAAAAATTGCTTGACTAATTCCTCCCAAATAGTGATGGAGTTTTTGAGGAGTGAATTGAGCCAAGCCTGAGCCTCTCCCTTCACTGAGAATGGAAACAACAACAACTTTATTTCTTCCAGTGTCACGTTTTGTTGCCTTTGCATCACACATATCGACAGGGAATTTTTCAGATGTTTTTGAGGATCTTCAATGTAAGACCCTGAGAACAGTCCCTTGTTCTGCAACAAATGTAGCATATTGTTTTTGATTTGAAATAATTCCGCTCGTATGAGGGACTGCAATTATGGTTGCTAGATTTTCTGCGGTGGATTGTGCCCAATCATACAAGGCTGCATCTGGCACAAGACGAGGCACACCCTGATTGTTCGGGTCCTTCACATTATTTATGTTGTTTGGATTTTCTATTACGCCATCCGTGTCTGGTTCGATTTGTTCTGTTGAGTTCTGTTGCTGTTTGTCCTTCTTGTTTGCACGATTCAATGCCTTGAAAACTTTCTCAGGATCTGATAATGCTTCGAACAATTCACCAGTTCTTGAGGAGTTTCTAGGCATGCGCCTGTAACACCCAAGACTAAAAATGATAGAATTTCAACATATTTAGTTTAAAATAATGAAAGTGGACTACACAAAGAATTCTGGCACTTCTTTTAGCTGCAATTAATAACACAGTTAATTCCCCGAAAATGGCGCCAAAATTTGATCACACCCAACTATGCCTAATAAAAGGGTCTAAGCAGTCGTTGCAAATACATTCTGGTTAACAAGTCCGGAGTCGAATCCCACAGGAAATTGAACAATTAAGCACAACTACTAGAGTTGCAGAAACTCACACAATCAATCTTCAGAAATATTATTTAACAAATCGGATGTTTACTAACTAAAGATTGAGTAATGAAAATCCAGTAATTAATAACTAACTACGAACGGGTTGTAGACAAGATCTGGAATGGTCTAAGGTTATGTTTTCCCCAATTGTCAGAATCCTTTCTGCTATGTTTCCTATAAATTTGCCTAAGTTTTCTCTACCGATCATGAGCACTCCACGTGTCATAATTCTCTTTCGAGTAGCTACCACAATTTACTAGACATATTCTTCATAACTACGCTAGCTAGCACTAAGTTACGGCTCTCTCGGATCGCACCAAGGTGTTGATATTCCTAATCCCACCTTTAAACACTCCGTATTGATCCCTCACATACATTAGGAGTGATGTTGTTCAACAACTACCTAAATATTCATTCTCTTCCAAGCAGTACACACTAAATAGGCACAGTCGATTGAGAGCTCTTCAATCAACCACAATATAAACGTAGTTGAACAAATAGAGAAAAAGCTACGGCAAATCTATATTAAACGTAACAATAAAATCATCCTCCGATAGGTTCCACCAAAACCCTTGATTATATGTTTAACTACTCATACTCATAGTAGCAATTTTTCAAGTATTTTGCCTAAATAAATTACAAAGTAAAGATGATGGAATGTAGAAATCGATGATTCTTCCCCCCCCAACAGTTGTTCCACGAGCTATTCTTGCCTCAGGTAGCAAAACTCCTTCAAAAGTGGTGTTTACTGCCTATTTATATGTGTAGGAAAAGACCTAAACGACATAGCCAAAGTCCAAGTCCAAAAAGGAGACGAAATAGGCCTTCAAAATCCGAATCAAGCTCGCTAAGGACCTCACCTCGCTAGGGTTAACGCGAGCTTCACCTCACCTCAGACCGTGCGGCGCGAGGCCTGCCGCGTGCTCAACTTCACCATACCCCTCACATCGCGCGCTTCTACGGGAGCTAAAGAGCTCGCCTCGCCTGCTCTAACGCGAGCCTCTGGGCTTGCTTCGCCTGCTGCTTCATTTTTCCTCTGCTAAATTTTTCTTTTTGCTTTCCTATTGTTTTCGAGCATGTTTTACACTTTAAATATTCATTTTGCTCCAATTTCATCTCCCACGTACCTACACATAAAATAGACTCACTTAGGCATAAAATAGTGTAGTTTAGCATTAAAGCACCTAAAATGTAAGGTAAGTAATGTACTAAAATATGAAATTATAGCCGAACATCACTGCAACCATATTTTCAAAATTTGATTTAAAATAAGAATTTTGGAAAATTCAAATAGATCCCAAGGAAAAGAATAAAACTGTTTTTGCGACACCATTTGGAAAATATGAATGCAATGTATTGCCATCTGGTTTAAAAATGCTCCTTTCGAATTTTAAAGGATAATGAATAATATTTTTAATCCTTTTTTCAAAATTTATTATTGTTTATATTGATGATGTTTTAGTATTTTCAACTAGCATAGATCAACATTTTCAACATCTAAAGGTTTTCTTTAATGTTATCAAAGAAAATGGATTAGTTTTATCAACAAGTAAACATAGTCTTATTCAAATCAACATACGATTTCTTGGGCACAATGTCCAGCAGGGAACCATTGTCCCTATTCAAAGATCCATACAATTTCCTGACAAATTTTCTAACCAAATTTTAGATCAAGCTCAGCTTCAATAATTTTTTAGGATGTGTTTTATGTATCCGACTTCATTCCAAGCCTTAGCAATTTGCTAAAACCTCTCACGATAGGCTGAAAAAACCTCCACCTCCGTTGACTTCAGTCTACACCAACATTATCAAAGAAATTAAATTGAAAGTCAAAGACCTTCCTTGCTTATTTCTTTTTTTTTTGGTTGAAAAGATAGACAATATTATAACATACTAAACAAAATACAACATATTAGTTTCTTGGATGCATACTGGGCATCCCTTGTACAAAGATAGAGCTAGGTGCTTGGTCTCCCACTTGGGAAACAGTACTAGTTGCAGAAGTAGTAGCTACTAAAGAGTTTCTGCTATTACACATAATAGATAAGCTTGATAAACTAGAGAGTGATTGTGTAACATTCCTACTAAACATCCTAATCATCCTGCTGTGGAGTGTGCCCTAGTAGTCTTGTTCATAACAAGACATAGGAAAAGGTGGTGGTGTCCCTCCCTGATCCATCTGTATTCAAAATAACTAATGCATCAGATATTGGTTATAGTGGCATTTTAAAGCAGAAAAAAGATGACAAGGAATAAATTACTGCATTTGCATCAAAATATTGGAATAAATTCCATCAAAATTATCCTACAATTAAAAAAGAAATTTTAGCAATTGTTTCGTGAATTTCTAAATTTCAATCTGATTTATCAAATCAAAAAGTTTTGTTAAGAATTTATTGTAAAGCTGCAAAATCTGTTTTACATAAGGGTTTACAAAATCTTGTTTCTAAATATATATTTGCTAGATGGCAAGCTATTTTATCTATTTTTGATTTTGATATAGAATATATCAAAGGGAGCTCAAAATGTATTCCAGATTTTCTTACCCGAGAATTCTTGCACGGGAGATAAAATGCCAAGGAAAAAGAAAGTAGAAATTTCAGATCCTCGAATACCTGCTCTTCCTTCGCCAGAGGAAAATATTACTAAAGCAGTACCCAAAAAGTCTGCTACAGATGTTGTTTCCAAATAACGCACCATTTCAGTTGCCTCCAAGCAACTCTCAAAAGGCGTAGCTGGACCAAGCCTGCCCAAATACTGAAAGCCATCAGACTATGCCACGAGCGGAGTCCCCCAAGTTCATATGATAGAAACTTCAGGACCCATTTGAATTTCTCGTCCAAAAAAATGGGCAGAACTAGTTGAGGAAAAAGAATCTCAGCAAGCTCAAACTCAACTAGCACAGACCATGTCTTCTTCTTGGACAGAAGAAGAATTCATGCAATGGCGCCAACTCATGGGAATTAAAGATCAAATGACCATGCCTAGCCTATTTAAAAAAACAACTGAGAGATTAGTACCAGTTGTGTAAAAGTTATTTTTCCAATGTGGCGGCACGAAGGCACGCATCTTCTTCTAACCCAATGGCAGCCCAAAGTCACACGACCTCTTCACTTCCTATGCTTGTAAGAAGAACCATACAAAAAATATTGGAGGCTAAAAGACCCATTTCAGGTACTGGATGTCAATCCCACATCCCACAAACCACAACCAATCAGGTACTTTCTTCACCAGTGCCACAACATATTTCTTCAAGCAAAGGCTCCTCCTCCAAGGAATCCACTAATATTAAGAATGAAATTGTCTACCCGCTCATTCAAATTGAACCAGAATTCTGGCATTCCAACCCCCAAGAGGTATCTAAGAAAATACTTAGACCTTCAGCCAGTTTCATCCAAAACACTCACAAAGAAACCCAAAAATACTATGAGTTAATTCTAACATATACCAGATCGTGCTTGTTTAAACCCCACAAAGAAAAGCAGACCCAATCATATGTCACATATACTACGATGTGTATTAAAAAAATAATCTCACCAAAAGAATGGGGAACCTATCCACAATACAAAAACCTTTTCTCAGCCTTTTGATCCACAATTTTACCATTGTTATGACAACTAGGCATCGCGGATG